GCACTGGAGACGTGAAAGTGACAACAAATCAAAAGAGCAAAGAGTGTGTGAAGGAGTATGACAGTTATGTTATGTATTCAAGTCAAGCTAATGTATTCACTTTGATGCTTGGAGTTGCACTTGTGCTTTTCTTTTATTAATTTCTTTTTAAGAAAAATCAATTGGTTGACTACGTTATTTTTATAATTAAGAAATTTGTAGAAAGTACTTGTATTACTAACATAGTAAAATGATTTTTTATTTATTATCATAATCTGGGTTGGCCAAACTATCATGTTATTGAAAAAAAAACTTAAAAAACATTAAAATGGTAAATAACATTATTCTTTTTGAAAAACAAAAAAATAAATGACAAAACACAATTATTTATACCAAAAGATAAAATTAAAAAAATAAAACGATAATTTATATTAAACACAAAATTGTTTTTAAATTACTTTAAAATACAATATATTAATATATCTTTGTGTTAATATAATTGTACACCAAAACCATTCAATTATATATTTTACATGTAAATAAAACAAATTTAAAGTTGAACTAATATATTTATTCGTTTTCAATTCAATGAGTAATTAATATTTTGACTGATTATTATCATATTTTGAATAATCGTTTTCATTTATAAGATTATCTAAAGATAAGTTTTAATGTTTTTTGAAAGTAATATGTTTACATTATTCGAGAAAAATACATTGTTTGTTTTGTATTATTGCAAATGTTCATAAAAATACAACATACTACAATTTGATTGATTCATTGACACTTTATTTCAGAAGGGACATAAATGAGCAAATCAAATTTTTAATAATTCATATTCATGTACGTTTAAAAAAATAAATATCAATTGTAAAAATAAATTAAATTTTATGTTTAAATCATTTAAGTTATCTATAATAATTTTTGTTATTCGTAAGTATCTTCTGTCTTTATAAGTATTATAATTGGTGAATATTGTTATTTAATTTAAATAACGTTGTAACACAATATTTCACGTGTTTTTTTTACTTTTCAGACATTGTTTTTAAAAACTAAAATTTAACACAATATAATGATAATTTGATCACACAAAAAATTTGTTTAAATCGTTAACTATAGTTTTACAATTTTTTAAAAACATTTTTACTTTAAAAAAACTTTTTGAATTTTTTGTTGACAATATGTTAAAACTTAAAATGAACTGACACATATTAGAGATTGCCACGAAGTTGTTTAAAAACTGGACCTTGGCCGACCCTGTCATAATTGTTTTTTATTCTCGTTTTTATGTAAGAAGTTAGTGGGAAAAAATTCCACTTAATAACATAAACTATATTTTAATATAAAATACCATTTATTTATGGGTTCTATTTTTGTTCTTATTAAAACATAAGTTACAATTGTAATTGATCTCTGTTGTAATGCACATCAACTTCTTCGCACTATATGTTACACTTATTTGAGGTGGATTGAATGAAAGACAAGTTTATTTTTACAATAACTGTGTATTAAGTGTTTGAGAAGATGTTTTTAAATATGTTGTTATAAATTCATTGCATCAAAATGCTACTTTTATATTTTTTTGATTGTTGAATTGTGTTGTATTGATAATAAATAACAACAAAAACTCATTTTTGTATTTAAATTGAAAATTTTATACAAATTAAAATTAATTTGATTTATCGTTGTTTGTTTAAAAAGTTTTTTGTTTTTAACCCTTCTACTGTTTTTGAACTTATAACAAAAAATAATATATTTTACTTTTATGTTTGTAAAGAACCAGACTTTTTTCAATTGACCCAATGACAAAGTAAAATGTATAAAATAATTAAAATGCACAGTTAGATGGCTTCCAAATT